CTCTCAAAATCACCCCTGCATTAAACATTACAGTCATAAGAAAAAAGGAAATGATCCCAAACTAAAGAAGCTCTTGATCAATGTTGAACAAATTCTCCTTGTCAGCACCTTGGCAAATTTATGTAGAACAGTATGGAGAATATACATACTGATATAAAGATGTAAAGGGTTAAAAGAATCCATGGAAGCAAAGACATACATGCTGGCTGAACACCACAATTAGTTTACTGTGGCTTCTAATCTCTTTTTGGAGAATTGATTCTCTGAGAGTTGTCACTTCTTCCCGAGATCAAGATGTACATTTTTTCTTCAAGAGTGCCATACATATCCTTCCTTACAGGTAGAGAGATTTTGGAGTTGAAAGAAAAGATTATACATCCTCCAGTTTATAACTTCAATATTTCTCATTTTTCATAAACTTGACATTGTATTGATTCTGTCAGGAGAAGTTAGGCTTTGATCACTTTTGGGGTAAAAGATCTATTCTGATACACATCCACTTCCCTCTCCCAAGTCTGGTATTAAATTGGGGAAAACATAGTTCGCGATATCACTGGCGGTTTCAAAGACTTTAATGAGTTAGAGAGAACTGTAAGAAACTCAGTAAGTTTGCCAATTTTTAAGAAGTATCTTTTTCCTGCTTTTTATAATTAAGTTTTTTTTTATTTTTAATTTATTAATTAATTTTTGCAGTGTATATGTTGTAATCATTTTTATATTTCGATTTAGCTGAAATTTCTATATTTTAATTGTATTTTTATATAATACACATCTAGTATTTAGGACCTCTATGTAAACCACTATTGTGATGGAACTTCCTAATAAAAGATTGTTTAAAAAAAAAACATGGCTGCAGCAATGGCACAGCTCTTGTACTGTATTTTTGACAAGAGCAAGTGCCCCCACACCCAGTAATATCACTTAGTATTAAGCCTCTAGATGTAAAGGAGATATTTCAAGAACATTTTAACTTTTTGGTCACAATAATCATTAGACAGATCTGCTGGCCCAACAGTTGGTGCATTGGACTCTGACTGCAGAGATCCTTGGGCTAAAGACCTGGACCAGTCATTGTGCTGTGTTCTTGGGCAACACACTTTACTCTCACATTGCCTCTCCACCCAAGATTATAGATGGGTCCCCCCCCTCACTATCACGATCCCTGAAAAAACATTGAGGATGCAATCTGCAATAGACTTAACCCTTTACACTCTGGCAGCAGTATGAACCAGAGCTTCTCTAAGTTGATGATCATTTCTTTTATTCTCATGACTTTTGCGTGTGATTCAGGTGTGATATTGTAAGGAGAAATTAGATGCTAAGTAGGTAAGTAAGTAAGTAATTTTATTTATTACACGACTCGGGCAGTCAGAGGGCCAATAACTAAAATTGACCAATCAAAATGCTCTATTGCAGGTCAATATTCTCTCAGTATTGGACCGGGCACTGTCCCGAATGGTCCCGAATGATACTATACTTGTGTCCCTTTGAACTTCAGTTGTACAATAAATCTCTTATTAACCAAGCTTGCTCGGGACCGTACTGGAAGAGTATTGGCCCTCGGTCTTTTTTGTACGGACCGAGTGCAGCTCGGTCCATACTGTCAAGACCTTGGGCTGATATTCTCCCAGTACGGCCCTCTCGCTTGGTTAATAAGATATATTTAACCCCATATCACATATGAGCGATAGCTCGTTCAAATGCAAATGTGGAAACCCATCCATCCCACCCCAGGGAAGGACATTCATCACACAGTAATCTCGTGTGTGGGAAATTAGCGTCTCCTACCCCAACCCTGCAGGAGATGGGACCTCCATTTATTTGTCCCTATCCAAGAACACTAGAATATCTAACCATTTCTTGATGTTATAGAAAGGTAGCAAATTCTTCTCAATTATTTTAAGACCTCGAGTGTTGGTCCGGCCAGGGCTCGAACCCTCNGAGGCTAAGGGTGACCCTGTTGTGATAGAGACCTGTATCTAGTTAATTAGCATGATAACAAAGTAATTTGCATTTGAAAAGCAGCAACATCTCTATCATAACAAGGTCACCCTAAGCCTCACTCCTGTTTAAAGGCTTGGCCACCAAGCCCACAAGTGTAAAAAGGACTATTCTCCAAGCTGACATGATGGGAATTTGTATGGTTTGTATGGCAGACAGCAAACTAAGCAATAATTACGAATGAGATATTAGGAGAAGAAGGGTAATGAACTCATTTCTGAAAAATGCTCAGTGTAAACTCAACTTGAATTGATACAAGAAAAAAAATAACATTCATTCAAATGATCACACATTTGGCCAAAAGCTTTAGTTATGGGAGAGTAGCACAAATCTATACACAGCTGTGTCAACTCTCTTGGTCTAAGACACCTTCACACAGAGATTAGTCAGTAGAAAGTGTGCACAAACAATTTTTATACACAATATGCAATGCATCAAAAAAACGAACGCGTGAGTGCAGCAAACAGATGAGTTTTTTGATGCATCACATCCATTGAGTCAATAAAACTCGTTCAAGCACTTTCCATGGTATGGCCTTTTTATTTCATACATACTGAGAGTTTTTCTTAGAGATTGGAAGCAAATGCTTTACCATGTAAATTTCAGTGGGTATGAAACAAAATATAATTCTTTCAAATTATCTCAAACAACTCTAGAAAAAAATTTTAAATCTTTGGATAAAATTTCCATGGATATTGATCAACAGGGTCAAGGGAAAATCTTACTCCACTTCTAAGAATTTTTTTTTATCTCGTAGAAAAAAGATGCCAACAACATTTGGGTACAGCAGACAATGTTTCCTGCGCTGCCCGTTCAATATAATCCTTCGCATTACATACTTTTTCCCAAGGATAGTAGGGAAAAAGAGGGGCGGGGGGAATGTATTACTTACTAACTTTAGTTTTGAGGGCCACTGGTTTGTCGGTTTTATACTGTTATGTGTTTTACCCCCTTTAAATAAAGTTGATTATTATTATTATTATTACAATATTTAGAAATATAATTATGTAACATATCAGTAGAAATTAACAGAAAAGTGAAGATAAGCGGGAGCGACTATATTAAGATACGGCCTTGGATTATCTTTCTAAAGTCTTTAAATGCACTCATGATACTCTTGATACTCATGATACTCTTATCACAGTTTGACTTTACCTGTGATCTATAACTCTGCAAACCCACGGCAACATAAAATACATTTGTTTTATTTAATAAAAAAAATGGAAAATGTTGTTGATGATGGCGTGACCGATGTGTCGGTCCTCCAACAGAAGTGAGAACCAATCAAAATGCGTGTATAACTCAGAGGATCACATAAAGAGGAATTGATACCAACACTGATAGACCATTTCATCGCGTTATGATGAATATTGAGTAAACCAATCAGTGCGTACTTTTTTTTGTCTCTTTAAACTCAGGCCTTCCTCAAATCCTTGAGGTCGGGTGCTACCGTGACGCCCAAAAAGACAGGGCCTTTCATGACATGTATGCTTACCTCCGAGGAAATATCGATTGGCACAACTTACGATCGATGGTGACGAGGTGTGCAGAGCGTGCGTTCGAGCTCGGTTACCGGTATTTCGGGGTGCAGTATTATGGAGAGTGCTGGGGGGACGACCGTGTTCGGCCAACGTATGATAAGCACGATGCCGGTAAAGGTTGTACCGACGGTGAGTATGAAGTTCAAGAGACATGTAAACCTTAGAGCAATTTTCAATTTAGTGCTTAAAGTAATCTGGTATTGATCATGAGGTAACTTTGGTTTTATCAACTGAGTTGATAATGTAAATTGGCCACCGTAAAGAGTTTCAAAGCTGACGTTTCGAGCGTTAACCCCTCGTCATTCGCTCTGACGAATGGCTAACGCTCGAAACGTCAGCCTAGAAACTCTTTACGGAGGCCAATTTACATTATCAATTCAGTTGATAAAACCAAAATTACTTTATTACTCCCACCGACGCAGTACCGCAGTTTCTTTTGACTTACCTCTTTTATCCAGTAATCTGGTATTGCTTATTACGCTCTGTGATTGGTTCAGAAAATTCACACCACTCTCACAACCAATCAGATACAAAATAAAAACCAATCGCGAGTTGTTCACCCGCGTTTTCCCGCGCTTGAGACAGTTTGGTTGTTTTTACTATGAGTCCTCATTGGCTCTTAAAGGTATTTTCCTTTCTTCCGATTGGCCTTTATGATTAATTTGGATTTGGTTTTACGACACTCGATCGAAAAAACCTCTGTTATTTAAGTCACCCCCATATTTTGGTTACGTGGATATCCCATAAGGCTTAGAAAGCTTGAGATCAACGAGTCAAAGGGGCAAAGGGGTGGTCGTAAGAATATCACAGAGCCTAATGGGGGAATCAAGTCGATTTTATCGTGTCACAACCAAAATCCTCAGACCAACCGATCCCCCTCCCTCCCCCACTTCCCGGCCATAGCTAATAACAACTCCCTAAATGAATTCTAAATTTGACGATCCAGGTGTTGGCGATAAAATTCACAACTTTGTTTATCGTTTCGCACCGTGGCGCGACCTTGGCTGTTGGAGAGACACAGGTGATGGTCGCACCATGACAATGCTGGAGAATTTCCGGGGAGAAATCGATTGGTTCCACTTGGAGAAAACAGGTTTGTGGTATTCAAAATGGTTTGCCCAACAGGTTTATGGAGGAAGGTCTGTTATGATGGTCTGACGAGGGTACCAGTTAGAGTTAGGATTTTTGCGTTTATCTTAGGAGCCTTTATTTCTAACCAGTCTCATTCCCCAGCTATGTTTTCCTTCGTCCCCTTTACGAACCTCGAATTTTGCATGATTGCGTTGCGTGACACGATATTTATAACGGTTATGAGAGGTTCCTTTCAGTTCTTCAAGTCTTGAAAAATAGATAAACCGAAATAATAGTGCACCTGGTTTATTTAGTGTGTTTTGTGAATATGTTATTTTCTGGCGATTTCCTGGGATCTTTTGGGTTATAAGCACAGTAGAGGGGTCCTTTGAATATATTAGTTCTACTAGAGTTCTAATGTATTTCTCCCCTCGGCTCTCCCATTCTCTTGAATTTTCTACGCCTCTTAACGTATTGTTTATCCCCATATATTTGAAATGTTCCATTTTCACTCTTCCAACAGTGTCCAGGGTGAAAAAATCTCATTTTTTGGCAGAGTTTTGGTATCTTAAAAGGAAAAAAGGGTTCTAACATACGTTGAATTCTATGCAAAACCACGCAGTATAGGTGATATAGTCTTAATTCGTGTTTCGTCGAAATAGTCAATCACTGTTTTTAGCCCAGCGTTTGTTTTGGTATTTTGTTGACTACCAAACGGCATTGATTATAAAATCTCTGTTGTTCACTTACGTATGTTTCTATTTCAGTGAGAGAAAAAGGCAACTCAACAGATGTTCTAATAACAGATTTCTTCTTTTTTTCTTCCTCATTACTGAGTGATAAAAAAAACGAAAGTTCCCTGAAGCATAGAATAAGCTTTCAGCGGCAATATTTTTCGAGATGGGTGTGGAGATTTTGTTTCCTAAATGCTGTTTTATGGTGTCATCAAGTATGAAAAGTTTCATAGTGCTCAATTCAGGCGTCAACCATAGGTTGTGGATGCAAATTTCGTAAATAATCGAGTCCGCTTTTTGTGCATTGTTGGGCGGAATTTTCGAAAATGCACATATCATGTTGACCGGTGAAAAGTTCGCCCGAAACCACATATTTTTATATTTCCATACTCCACCCTATTTTATCTAAAAAGGGTTAAAGGCAGGGGGAATCTTACTCTCTCGCCGTGCATCGTTTTAATTTTACTTTGTATTTCACCTTTAGTCGAGAAGTGTTATGAAGCTGCCAAAAAGAAAAACAAGAAATACTTCGCCATCCAGTTTTACGGCGAGTGCTGGGTGTCTGACACAAAATCTTACGAGGTACACGGTCAGTCCACTAATTGCTGGAACGGAGTTGGCAGAGACTACGATAACTACGTGTACGAGGCGCTTTACTAATAACAGGTACGACAAGCTTCTAAGAAATTTTTAGCAAACCTAATGATCAAATCACAGATCAATCGCGTAAACATCTCCAGATTTCGGTTGCACGTGTAGCTCTTTGCTCTCTGTCTGCGTTTAAAAATTGAATTTGAATGGAGAAAAGTAAAACAGGAGAAGAGTCAATAGGTAAAAGTAACAAAAAAAAAGCCTGGTTGGTAGCACAAGAAGCGCCCCGCAGAGTCTCAAGGGACTCTCAGCAAAAAAAATGTTTTGCAGGTAACTATCTGACAGTTTCAAATGTACCCATAACAACCCTATAGTTCAATTCTACTGAACGGCAATTTTGATTTCGACTCCCTCTCTTTTCGTTTTTTAACTTAAAACCGGCTAAAGCACGCCGCGGTGAAACTTAATGGTTGCTGACCGAGTGCGAGCAGCGAAGATAAACTATGTGCCTTTATCCGTTTTCGTGAGATTCTTTCGCCATTCCGCGTCATCTACCGTACCCTTAACATATTTTAGTATTTTAAGTTTATCCAAAACTTTATTTTTCTGATCATAGAGTGATCCGATCCGTGATCCGATCCGCGATCCAATCCGTGATCTAGTTCGTGATCTGACCGAGTTTTGTCGACGGCGTTTTAACTTAACCCTTTCTCTTTAAATCTTCTTTATTCCAGTATTAGTCGCACTTTGGAAAGATGAGAAAGAAGACGAGGAAATCTACTTTCACAAGGCGATCGTGCTGTGTGTGTTAGTACTCATATCAAGACAAAGAAATGTTACTCGAGATAATTTGCCTTAAATAAACAGTAGTACCGTTAAATCGCCTCTGGTTCTCTAGTCTTCAGTTGCCTATTGCTTCATGGATCAGTTATTGAACATGAATCTATGCGCGTTTTCGACTGTGTCCAGCATTATTTATAGATCAAAAAGCTTTCATACTACTGTACCACACACGATGAATTATAACGCTTAACAGTCAGACAGCTGCCGCTCTGGTTATCGCAAAAACTAATGACAGGACGGAAAATGCGTGCACTGAAAGTACCTCCCGTTGTCCCTTAAAAAGCCTTAGAAAACTTTTCTAAGGCTTTGTATGGGACAACGGGAGGTACTTACAGTGCACGCATTTCCGCCCTGTCCATTCTAAACTACTCAGCCTTCACTTACTTAAGTTACTAAGCAAGTTTCAAAATTACTTTATTCGTGGTCAGAGTTTTGGGAGCACATTCGAAGGGAACTTTCGTAAGATTACGTTCTTCCTTGAAATCTCAAAACGCAATAAGAGCCATAGGAATACTTTTTAATGGCGAAGATAGAGATCAAAATGGTTTGCGGAGCACACTTCCATTTTTATAATCAAAGTGGCAAACACTTATAATATAAAATTTACAGCATATAATTTGGGATCTAAAATCATGGAAAAACGTATTTTGGAATATTTAGTAACTCATTCAGTAGACTAAACGATTGAACGATATCACAAGGCAGGGGGGGGGAGGTCGTTTGCACTATCAGGTGGTAAAATTTTGAGAAGCTAGTCAATGTTAAGCCTGTGAATAAATTGTCTCCAAAGGTTTTGTTCGTTTAAAGCTTTCACTCTGGTGCTTTGGTTTCTTGCATTTTTTCCGAGTAGCAAAAGTGGAGTGTTTAAGTACACAAGCTATGAAAGCTACTCTTTGCCATTTAACCAAGTGGGAATAAAGTTCTCAATATGATTTTTCTGTTTCCTGACGAGATTTTGTATTTCACGTTTCCTTTCGGGCGAGGATTGCACGATTAGATCCATGCATAATTACACGTATGAGCCTAACTTATTACATGACGTTTCGGTGTAGGAAATTAAGATCGGTGTCTACATCAGTATGCCAACTTTCTTCTAATTGGGCTCAGTCCAACTCGGAATAAGTTCAGTTTAACACCTGAAGGGTCCCACGTATACACGCAATATGGAGTAAATTGTGAATTTGCGCAAGAAATTAAAGACTATTAGGTAATGGTACAGAAGAATTGGAAAACTTGCCTCTGAATCTTGTATCTAAAATCATCCAGACAGTGATATTAGGTGGGCATAGCTGGCTATTCTGGAGTTTCCTTTCAGTAGAATATTTAGTAGGCAAATAATTGCGTTTTTAGCACCTGACGCGAACGAATCTATATTGGAGTAAGGTTTATGGGAAAACAATCTGAATACCTCATTCGAGTACCATGAACCATCTTATTCAGAGAGTTTCGACAACTTGGAGATAACGAAATGCTATCAAACCTAGATATTTTCTAAGTTTCACTAGTGGATGGCTGAATTTCTGTTTGATGCCGTGGTATTTCTCTCATTTCAATCTCAGGAGGAGTACCATCTGGTTGCCTTAGGTGAAAAATCTCCACAAAAGCTTGCCTTATGTTTTGAGTGTGCCAACAGTAAATTATCGGATTTGAAAGAGAACCTAGTAGGCTGAGTCCTGAAATGCAAAACATCAAAGCACAGGCATGTCGAGTTTCTAGGATGTTTGGAATAGCTGCTAGTATGAAAGGTATTGAGATTGGAAAATAAGTCAGTATCAACGTCCCTAAGATCATTGATAGTGTGTAGACTGCCTTGCGGTCTTTCTTTATCCTTTAGGCTTCCTCGTTAGATGCATGTTCTTCTTCAGGGCGTTTTATCTGTCGCCTTGTTTCGGAGTAAATATAACCACTACAGTAGAAGATGGAAATAATACAGATCAAAAAGAAAACAGCAGTCTCCAAAGTACCTAGCGTCCAAAATAGGGCGTATATTTTAGTTCCAACGCGTGCAGTAGCTAAGATGATGTCTTGAAATATAAAAAAGTGTTGAAATTATCCAAGCCAAAAATACAGCTCTCCTTATCCGCCATGTTGTGACAATTTCCTGGTACCTTAAGGGTTCCTTTATGGAGATGTAGCCATCGATGCTGATAAGCACGAGGTGTGTCAACGTTACAAAACCTTAATTGTCCAACAAAAAGGACAACGTATGATGCACGATCCTTCGCAGAAGATAGCGCTATTTATGCAATAGCAAAAATCAGACCCGAAAAAAATATCAGGCCTGTACGGGATTCGAACCACTGACCTCTGCGATACTAGTGCAGCGCAGAGGTCAGTGGTTCGAATTCCGTACAGGCCTGATTTTTTTTTCGGGTCTGATTTTCGCTATCGCATAAATAGCGCTATCTACTGCGAAGGATCGTGCATCGTACGTATTTAATACCGCAGTTCAAAATATATGAACTTCATATATTCATTGCAACCAAAAAGGACAACGTAAGCTGTTTCAAGTGCACAAAATGGCCACATGCCGAAGGCTGTCTTGACGTTAACAGCGATTGCACAGGGATGAACCACCAGTCCTGTCAACAAATCAGTCCC